TATGAAGAGTATTTGATTCTACTATATCTGGGTCTTGAGAAGAAGATTTTTGAAATTTGACCCCTTTTAGCCCCGCCCCTCAGGCCCCTGGGGGCTTGGGACTAAACCGGCCACTATTTTTGTTGAGCATTGTCCATGGAAGGTCCCTGCAAAATTTCATTGCAATTGGTTCAGGGGTTTTGGAAAAGAAGATTTTTGAAATTTGACCCCTTTTAGCCCCGCCCCCCAGGCCCCTGGGGGCTTGGGACAACACCGGCCAATATTTTTGTTAGCCTTTGTCCATGGAAGGTCCCTGCAAAATTTCATTGCAATTGGTTCAGGGGTTTTGGAGAAGAAGATTTTTGAAATTTTAGTCAATTTGCCCCTTTTTGGCCCCGCCCCTCAGGCCCCTGGGGGCTTGGGACAAAACCGGCCAATATTTTTGTTAACCTTTGTCCATGGAAGGTCCCTGTTAAATTTCATTGAAATTGGTTCAGGGGTTTTGGAGAAGAAGTCGAAAATGCAAATTGTTTACGGACGCACGACGGACAAAAGGCGATCGCAATAGGTCACTTCAGACTTTGTCTCAGGTGACCTAAAGATCAATCAATGGTACTCTATCATTGAAAACGGCCTCCTTGTTTAATTCCAATACCAAATTTGGGAAATGCTTCCTTTGTTATATTAATACAGTTTTCTACCAAAGAATTTTAAATTACAATCCTTTCAATACTGTAATAAACTTCATATTTCCTTCAAAACAAGTTTTATCAGCATATATACTCTAGGGGGTCTTAATGTGGGAGGTAACTGGAGTACCAAGGAAAACCCTGTCATTTGGCAGGTGACCCAATACTTTTTCAGTGATCAAACCATGGCTGTTTTGGAGAAGGGCAAGTTTGCTATCCACTGCACAACCCCACCACCCTCAATTATTTAGTGATTGTAAATCAAAAACGAAAGGGGAGATAACTCCAAATTGTCCAGAGGAAGACTGTTCAGGCAAACATTCAGCAATTACAACTGAACAGCCCGGAGAGAGGCAGAGAAACACACCCAATGTCAGATTAAAAACTAAAAAATTAAATTTTAAAAAAATGTCGCTTTCTTATGAACCACCAAATGCTGAGTGGATATGCTAGTAGCAGTGATTGTAAGTGGTAAATATGTTGTACATAGTGATTGTAAGTGGTAAATACATTGTACATACTGTAAAATCATAAATTTTGGTGGGGCAAAAATCTACGAAATTAAATCCCCACGAAAACATAAATTTGGTATGATATAGATAGGGGAACTTAGAAATCAGCGAAATATAATGTCCATGAAACCGGTTAGAATAATTATGAAAACCATGAAATTTTAACCCAACAAAAATAAATGAATCTACAGTAGTGATTGTAAAGCGGTAAATACATGTTCTCATAAAAAAACACAAAATATTTACTAAGTTTCAAAACCTTGCGCTACCCAATAACAGAATGCTGATAGGTATTTGATTGTTAAGTAGTACGACAATTGTGGAGAAAAAACAAGCAACTGAACTTTTTTAACAGATTATATACAAATAAACTAATGCTGCTTTCAATTAAGAAAGATAGTACCAGTGTCATCTTTGTGCAAACATTTAAGTCAAATTTTTGTTAGCACAATATTTATAACAAAGAGGCCCTGAAGGGCCCATAGCTCACCTGGAAATATTGATTTTAAAATCTATCAAATATGACATTTGTATATCAAAAGAGTCTGTACAAGGAAACATAGCGGGCATGAAGAGATGAATACATCCATGCTACCAGAATTAACCCTCAGGTTCTGCCCTACCCCTGGGACTTAGTTCTAAGAAAATTACATGTAACAATTGGTGTTTCAGAACAAGAACAGGAATAGTCCTTCAGAAGGAGTAGGCTTTTGAAGGCTGAAATCCACAAATTTTCGAGTATTGAACCCGAGAAGTGCAAAGTCATAACTTTCCGTAACACATTTGATTCTCGGGTCCCAAGGATGCATCATAACCAATTTGTTTGAAATCCAACCTGTCAATCAGAAGATGTAAAATTTTAAAGGAAAATGTTGATGCACAACAGACATTGTACTATGGCATATGCGCACCAGATGAGCTGAAAACCATGGTTTTATCATTTGCAAATTAACGAAATATCACAATTATAAGATTTTTATTGGACCTGACCCAATGAGTTAATTGCTTCAAGGCTATATAAACCTTTAAGTTTCAAGATTGTCTGACTTACTAACCAGTGCTAATGATATAAGCAGGAGAGGGTTACCTTCTGGTTTTAACAATGCAAGGTATATTATGTACAGAAGAGGGGAACAAGTTATAGTCATATCTTGGACAGAGATTTCTTTTTTCTTTTTAAAACTCAAAGTAAGATATAAGCAAATCCAGTTTGCTCCAGATCAACAGCTTAATGTATTTTTTCATAAATGCTACTAAATACATTTAAAATAAACAGAACACAGAGTTTTAAAACATCAGTTCCGAGTACAAAAATTCAAACTCGAGGACACTAATTGATTATTCATACTCAAGCTTCAAATGCCTTATTAAAGCTTGAGGACATTAATTCCCATCATGGGAACATTTGATAATAATTGCATGATAAAAGGCACATAAATCTGAACAGCTCACCTCACTAGACAAATGAACATGTTAATATACAAGCAGAAAACAGGCTAAACACTTTGTATGCCACTATTTAATATGGACTGTGACAACCCAATCTTTTGGTATATAGCTTGAGTGTTTACCCATAATTCCTCGTTTCCTTATTGACCATACTTCTATATCCCCTAAATCGCCTTGATTCTGATTGCCTCGTGTGAAATATAGATAAAATCTGACAAACCATAATTATGGATGTACAGTAGTCTTTTAAACCTTTTCCCATTTTTTGACCCAGCCCTCTGTCCACACTGCACATCCATGGTTTATGAACATCAAATCCCCTTGGCCTAGGGCTACTTCACACCAAAATTGAATCCCTTTTGCAAAGATATACTTCATTTCTCCCACCCTTCACAGGTGTGTATCCAATTTTAGCCGGGAAAGATAAGATTGTCGTCACCCCCTAGGGGGAGATAGCCTCGTGCCGAGTAGCACGTGTTCCATTGTTCGACAACCAAAAAACATCATCGCTCGGGTTGGAGATTTCCCTGTCACACCCTCAGAGTAGGGGAAGATTCTATTAGTCATATTAAGTCAAAAAGATTTCAGCCATCCTGGACTAGGAAATCCTGGCAGACAATAGATGCCACACTATGGGAGAAGCTTACTTGGGCTTTTGGCTAGTTGAGCTAACCATTCAAAACATGATAACCAAAGGTGTAACGGCAAATATATTGAGGTACATATGTTGTAGTAATACTTAAAGCTAATCAGAATACACACTTGTAGCTAACACATTTGCTAGAGTACATCAAGCCATGTATATCTTACAAAATCAACATCTATTCATCATAGGCTATCTCTTGCCTGTCATATGGAATAATACTAAATGTATTGACAACTGCAATGAACTATAGAAGCTTTTACTGTTGTATTAAAGAAGCTGTTTTTGCTACATTGGTTTGTATATAAAGATACTACAAAATATGATAGTATTATGCTTAATTCTAAAACATTTTTTTATATGATTTAGATTCAAGTGCAAAAATCAATATTACAGTGAATCAGATCTTTTAAGAATGAAAATGCGAAGTATTTGTGGTAGAAAACTTGCTTGTGTATAATTTGCTCTTGATGCTGAAAAGCCTCTCACTATAGAAACATATCTTCAACGAGGGAGATCTCCCTCATTCCTCATTTCCACTGCGGGAGAAAGTGTGTAAAATGTGAACTAAAACTGCTTTGCTCAATTGATCTTTCCCTTTTTATGCTTTCAAATAAGTCCAAAAAGCATCCATGTGATTCAGACACACCTGTTATGATCATTACACACACCCAGCAGTAACTAGCTACATGAGATCATTGACCACAGGATGTAGATTTAGAGTTTGTGTGAGTTTGGACTTGAATAAGGGAGTTTCAAGAAAGATTGGTAAATTTTGGTCAACATGAGGGAGTCTCCCTCCTAGTGAGGGAGGGTTGGAGGGTTGATAGCTATATATGCATCTTGAAAATGTACACTTTGGGAATAGTTGAACTTGTGGAATGGCTGTGGCGTGATAGAAAGTTCTACAGATAAAGAAGTTCTTCACTGATAAATTATGAAGTCTGCCACTGTAGAAATGCTGAAGATGGTGCATGCCCTGGTGCAGTAACTGATCCTAGACAGTAAAGTTCTCCTGGAACACGGCTTCGTCTTAGATGGTGTAGTTCCCTTGGTACCAGTCCTAAAAGATATCGTACTCTTAGTCACAACATAGTCCTAGATGGCATGGTACTTGAGGTACTCCTTGATGCGGAGTGGCAGATGGAGATGGTCGATGATATTGGATGGTACAAGTGTGCGGATGGTGCGACGTGTCTGGTGCTGTAGACTGGCCACTTTGTTGGGGGTCCTGTAGAACGCTACACCTCCGTCCCTGTCACTGTAATAAAAAAAGCAGTGTTCAGAGTACTGTCCCCTGGGAGATGCCACCAGTGCTGATGTGTACACATGCCTCTCAGTTATATTTACAAGGTGTTTATAGTCCCAAGTCATAGAGAAATCATCAAGCAACACTATGATAGTCAAGTTCTTCCAATGACTCGTAACTTGACAACGTTAATGGGAATAAATGTAAATAAAGATTGTATGAGTGACATGACTTTACAATATATCGCATAATACTATCAGTAGCAAGTCATTATATCAATGAAATACTCCTTGTGATAAAAATACACATGAAATCAATATAGGAATATATGCAGGCATTTACTCTTTGATTATAAAACTGATGAATGCTACAATTTACAGATGGGATTGTTTTCACTCATGGCCTTATCAATGATTTGTATGAATGTCTATCAAAACATGGTAACAGATGTTTATATATTATTTTTGTTTTGTTTTACATAAGTTGACATCTAGTAGTACATCATTCCAACATACAAGGTGTAAGTTTACTGATGGTATAGTTATAAGTCACACAAATACTTAATACAATACCTACATAGTTACATATATATATAAAAATGACCACGGTACAAACCTCACACAATTAACTAGTCACATGACTGTTCACTTTGCATATTCATGAGGCTGTGCTGGAAAGTTTTGGCTTTCCGCGCAGCCTGCGAGTCGATTGTGAACTGCAAAGACACGTCCTCTGTACATCATGTACAGTCTATTTGACTTTTCCATAAAGATCACTTCTGCAGAACAAAACATGGACCAAACTAGTAAGCCCGGCCAATAGGCCGAGCATCGGTAAGATAAGGAAATAAGGAAAGCAACGAATTTGTCTGAATAAATATTAAGGGTGCCTATCAAGCTGTAACCAAAGTATTACACAAAGCATCAATCAAACTCAGGGAACAGATCTGTTCCCATTTATTATGTTCGTTCATTGAGAACTAGTAAACAAAACTAACCCTTAAACAAGTCATTTTATTGGTTCTTGTTCAAAAGAAAGATTTTTGGTCATATCTGTTTGAGAAAAATAAATGAACTATATAAACGTTCTACCTAAATAAGGATATCAATTCTTAAAATGTAGTTTTTCATTAAGATTTGACATCACAACTTTCGCAGACAAAAAACATGTTTTCAAATAAAAATCTATTTCTATAGAGACTTTGTGTTCGTTTAAATCACACACATACTTTACGTTCAGAACATCTTTTATTAAGAATCCCTGCTCCAACTGGTAGCTAGCTCAGTTGGTTAAAGCGACAGTATGAAGATCTGAGGTCCAGGGTTTTGTTCTGTAGTGGATTTTTTTCCGTTTCCTTTATTTTATCTAAGTTTATTATTGTTTCCATAAAAATGTGGATAGTATGGTTTTCTTTTCAGAAATAATCTATCAAAGTTATAGTCATGCTAGTTTCTAATCCATCGTTATAGTTTTTGGTAGTAGTACAGGGGTCCTTAATTCTATCATTCAAACACTTTCCTCTCTAGTTTCCTGGTATTCCATACTACTGAATATATAATGTCTAGTGCATGAAAACTGAATTCTACAGAGATAAGGTATTATCTATGACCAAAAACCCTTCACTTGACCTCAAATATATTCAATATAACACTTTGCAATTACATCGCACATGTATGTCTACATGTCTAAAGAATATATCATTCAGACCATTTTATTGGTCGATTTTGATTTTGTTTAAAAGGTGACAATATTTTCAGAAATAGATAAAACACCAAACAAGAGATACCAGTTACACATTTATTCCTTAAGATAAAAGACAAGTTTTGGAGTTATAAGACATGTCTAGTTGTGTCTGTTGTTGGGAGTTAAAAGACATGTCTAGTTGTGTCTGTTGCTGGAGTTATAAGACAGGTCTAATTGTGTCTGTTGTTGAAGTTATAAGACAGGTCTAGTTGTGTCTGTTGTTGGAATTGTAAGACATGTCTAGTTGTGTCTGTTGTTTGAGTTATAAGACAGGTCTAGGTGTGTCTGTTGTTGGAATTGTAAGACATGTCGAGTTGTGTCTGTTGTTTGAGTTACGAGACAGGTCTAGTTGTGTCTGTTGGTTGAGTTATAAGACAGGTCTAGTTGCGTCTGTTGTTTGAGTTATGAGACAGGGCTAGTTGTGTCTGTTGTTTTAGTTATAAGACAGGTCTAGTTGTGTCTGCTGTTGAAGTTATAAGACAGGTCGAGTTGTGTCTGGTGTTTGAGTTATGAGACAGGTCTAGTTTTGTCTGTTGTTGAAGTTATAAGACAGGTCTCGTCGTGTCTGTTGTTGGAATTGTAAGACATGTCTAGTTGTGTCTGGTGTTTGAGTTATGAGACAGGTCTAGTTGCGTCTTTTGTTGGAGTTATAAGATAGGTCTAGTTGTGTCTGTTGTTGCAGTTATAAGACATGTATAATTGTGTCTGTTGTTTGAGTTATAATACAGGTCTAGTTGTGTCTGTTGTTTGAGGTATAAGACAGGTCTAGTTGTGTCCGTTGTTGGAATTGTAAGACATGTCTAGTTGTGTCTGTTGCTGGAGTTATAAGACAGGTCTAATTGTTTCTGTTGTTGAAGTTATAAGACAGGTCTCGTCGTGTCTGTTGTTGGAATTGTAAGACATTTCTAGTTGTGTCTGTTGTTTGAGGTATAAGACAGGTCTAGTTGTGTCTGTCGTTTGAGTTATGAGACAGGTCTAGTTGCGTCTTTTGTTGGAGTTATAAGATAGGTCTAGTTGTGTCTGTTGTTTAAGTTATAAGACAGGTCTAGTTGTGCCTGTTGTTGGAGTTATAAGACAGGTCTTGTTGTGTCTGATGTTTGAGTTATAAGACAGGTCTTGTTGTGTCTTTTGTTGGAGTTATAAGACAGGTCTTGTTGTGTCTTTTGTTGGAGTTATAAGACAGGTCTTGTTGTGTCTTTTGTTTGAGTTATAAGACATGTCTAGTTGTGTCTGGTGTTTGAGTTATAAGACAGGTCTTGTTGTGTCTTTTGTTGGAGTTATAAGACAGGTCTAGTTGCGTCTGTTGTTTGAGTTATAAGATAGGTCTAGTTGTGTCTGTTGTTACAGTTATAAGACAGGTCTAGTTGTATCTGTTGTTTGAGTTATAAGACAGGTCTTGTTGTGTCTGATGTTTGAGTTATAAGACAGGTCTTGTTGTGTCTTTTGTTGGAGTTATAAGACAGGTCTAGTTGCGTCTGTTGTTGGCGTTATAAGACAGGTCTAGTTGTGTCTGTCGTTTGAGTTATGAGACAGGTCTAGTTGCGTCTTTTGTTGGAGTTATAAGATAGGTCACATGTCTAGTTGTGTCTGTTGTTGGGAGTTATAAGACAGGCCTAGTTGTGTTGGGTCTGTTGTTTGAGTTATAAGACATGTCTAGTTGTGGCTGTTGTTTGAGTTATGAGACAGGACTTGTGGTGTCTGTTGTTTGAGTTATAAGTAAGACAGGTCTAGTTGTGTTGTGTCTGTTGTTTGAGTTATGAGACAGGTCTAGTTGCGTCTGTTGTTGGAGTTATAAGATAGGTCTAGTTGTGTCTGTTGTTGCAGTTATAAGACAGGTCTAGTTGTGTCTGTTGTTTGAGTTATAAGACAGGTCTAGTTGTGTCTGTTTGAGTTATAAGACAGGTCTAGTTGTGTCTGTTGTTGGAGTTATAAGATAGGTCTAGTTGTGTCTGTTGTTGCAGTTATAAGACATGTATAATTGTGTCTGTTGTTTGAGTTATGAGACAGGTCTAGTTGTGTCTGTTGTTTGAGTTATAAGACAGGTCTAGTTGTGTCTGTTGTAGGAGTTATAAGACAGGTCTAGTTGTGTCTGTTGTAGGAGATATAAGACAGGTCTAGTTGCGTCTTTTGTATGAGTTAAAAGACAGGTCTAGTTGTGTCTGTTTTACACAAAATGTATTGCTGTCTTTATAATTTTAAACAGTTCAGTTAAGACAAACTTAGCAGTTCCCAGTTATCACTTCAAAATTTGATACTGCCTCCTTTTGACCTTATGGTTTATTCAGTGCAGCATTTTTCTAATGGAGAGTGATATTTAACAGACAAATCAATTTTAAAACAACCAAGGGTAAATTTCAACGCTCTTTGTATTTTAGGATGAGTTTACATGGTGAATGTCACTAGGAGATATTCCCCATTGTCAGACAAGGCCAACAGTTTTGAGTAACAATAAATTATATATCACTGTAATTGTCAGACCCAGATTGTTTTTCCTGGCAAAACTTATCACTCATAGTAATGCTGAAAGAATGTTGTGACTTTTAACAGATTTAGTCTGGATTATTGAGTTACACAGAGGAAAATATAAACTAAAGAACAAGTGAAAAGATGATCACTAGTTTCCTGATAGTGAAAACAGAATTACAACATTAAGCAAGTAATTTGAGCATTTATTTTTGTACAAACTCTTAGTTATTCATTCCTAAAGTATACAATGGATAATATAACAATAATTTTCATACTTGTAGAAGAGGTTTTTTTCTTTTTTAATATGTGCATTGGAAAAAATAAGGGGGAAAAAAAGGAAATGTATTTTATAGCCTGAAAACTAGGGGGTGGGGGAGGGGAGAGAATCAGTTATAAGACCAGAGGCCCAGGGGCTTTACAGTCACATGAGTATAATTGTACCAGATAAGAGAGCAAAACTAATAACAGTTATTCCATATCCCAGCCAGCTAAACACTATCACCACCTTAGGCTTTATAGATCTATCATGCAATATTTAACCCCTCTGACTTTAAATGAAGGTCAAAAGTAATTAATATGGATAAATTTCATAGCTTTCCATCTTAGTTAGCAACACACAATATATCATGTAACTCTAAGCCTTATTTTTATGATTACCTGGAGGAAGTGGAAAAAAAATCAATGTTTAACAGACGATGTATGAGAATAGAAGGCAAACAGTCACTTGAGCCTCTGGGGTAAAATATATTACGAACTTATTCCTATATTGACCCTGTACAGAAGGGTTGGACAATACTGAAAACTCTCAAGTGTCCTAAAATTGTTGATGTTATCACAATATTGCATATTTTATGTCTTCAAGTAACTTTTCTGATAGAAGCACTGTTGGTTGAATTGAAAAATGACCATTTCTGCCTAAGTCCTGGTGAGTGTGATTTTAACAAATTGTTCAATGTCCGCAAGAAATATAATCACAAATCAAGATTTTATCACCTGAACAGCTTAACCTACATGGATGGTGCAGCCCTCATTGGAGGACAATTCCCTAGGATCACTTAAAGAGATTTCATAATCATCCATTAGCTACACACATCGCCCTCCTATACAATAGTTGTATGAGTTTAAACTCAAAACTTCATTATTTCATTACTGTAAATCTCTTCATTGTTGGATTTATTTTATTTCACAAACAAAGAACAAGTAGGTTTTATTCATATACTTGTATTCATGATTGGGAAGAAACTATTTCAACATTACCATAAGTAATTATCTATAAAATTCATATTCACAAAAGACCTTAAGAGTTATATTTGCAAATGAATATTCTTGCATATAAACATGAAAATATGCTGATCTAAAATACTGGTAAAATAGGGTGGTATTTGTTTTACTTCTCCAAAGTACAGAAATAATTTTATTAACATCAATTCAGCATTATACAATAATTACCCAAACTCTCACCATAATCTCCAATACATTGTCATACATGATAATGATACTATGATAACATGATTCAAATGAGCACAAAACTACCTACCCTACAGCGATGGTGTGTCCATTCGGGGAGACTGAACAGCACAGGGCATTGCTGTGATTGGCGACATTCATCGGGTTACTGGTGTCCTGTAGGTCCCACACTCGCATGTAGCTACAAATACAGGTAAATTATTTGTTTTATTTATTGCATTTAATTATACAGGTAAAACACAGATACTTCAAAATGCAAGTTTATCACACATATCATTGCAAATACTGGTAAAAATACACAAGTATCTCATTTACAGGTGAAACACACTAGTAATTACAAATACAGGTGAATAAATAGGAAACTACCAAAACAGGTAAAATTGAGAAACCTATTAATAGGTAAAACACATGGAGACTTGTAATAGACCATGTACCGTACATGTGGCTAGTGACTTACCCATCATCACAGACCGTGACCAGTTCAAATGACTTACCCATCATCACAGACCGTGACCAGTTCTAGCGACCTACCAATCATCACAGACCGTGACCAGTGACTTACCCATCATCACAGACCGTGACCAGTTCTAGTGACTTACCCATCATCACAGACCTTGACCAGTTCTAGCAACTTATCCATCATCACAGACTGCGACCAGTTCTAGTGACTTACCTGTCAACATGGACCGTGACCAGTTCTAGTTACTTACCTATCATCACAGACATTGACCAGTTCTAGTGACTTACCCATCATCACAGACCACGACCAGTTCCAGTGACTTACCTATCATCACAGACCGCGACCAGTTCTAGTGACTTACCCATCATCACAGACAGTGACCAGTTCTAGTGACTTACCTATCATCACAGACAGTGACCAGTTCTAGTGACTTACCCATCATCACAGACAGTGACCAGTTGTAAGCCGTTGTTACAGAAGCTGACGTCCCTCAGGTAATGGTCGTTGGCACCTCCAGCAAATATTGGGCGTGGCTCTGGGAACATGTGTCTGTGAATGACGGATGTATAAAGCTAATACAATGGTGTAGTAATGAGTAACATAGAAAGTTCTTGAGATAGCCTCGTCCTAACTTGTGCTATTTGATCATTAATCTCTTTGATAAATTAAAATGTGTAAGTTGATGTCTCATTTAAACAACACTTACTTCTTATTGAAAGGACTATAAAGAAGAAAATGTCTGTTCATAGAAATTTTCTTTTGTATCACATGATGATAAGTTATATATATATATACTGGTTTCTCTGAGTAATACACATATTGTAAATGGTAAATTTATATGTAATAAAAGTTAAATGGTTCAAAGGTCATTCGGGGCCAAAAAGTTATATGTTAGGAATAAACAGATTTAAAATTTGTTATACCTAGTTAGCAATGCCAGTAAGTATGTGTGGTTAACACAGGTTCATTTACCCCTGAAGACACATTTGAACTCGTCCAATTCAAAGGTTGGAAAAGTTCATTATGAAACTTTAGGGGTGAATGAGTTAATGAGTGAAAATAGTATAGAGTATTGAAATCTATCAGAACGGGAGAGCAGCAATATGAACATGAAAAGGAAAGTGTCCATGCTTGTTTCAGAACTCTTACCCCAACTCAGCTATGGCGTCACCCGTGTAAGGGTCCCACAAAATAACCCGGGTGTCATAGGAAGCGGTGGCTAGAAGGGCCCCGTCCGGGGAGAAGTCACAGGAACACACATCGTTATAATGACCCTTCAGTTGCGTAAACTTATTCTCATGACTCATGTCAAACAATGCCACCTGCAAATAAATTGTTTTCAAGTTTTAATCTCTGACAATTTGAAAACTGAACCAAAAAACATATTCTTACTACACCAACAAGTGTTATCTTTGATGATATATACTCAAATTTAAAATATTAACTTTCAATTGTTTATTTCAGCATTTCATAATTTCTGTTTACTTGTAGCCTTGTTAGTCCTCATCCTAGTAGTTAGTACAACATGGGACTTTCATTTTATATTTCCTGAAAATTCCTAGGTGGTTTAACTTTCGATTGAATTGGTAGAGAGTAGTCTTATGTTGCCCAGTACACACAACAACCTAGTCAAGCCTCAGTATTTTTCAGCCACCACCCGTTAGTATGTCATGCTTTATTACTTCCTGTATAAAACGGTCTTAGTAACCCAGCTGTTTCATTATTTAGCCACTTTTATCTAAGAACGAAGGTGACTGAACCAATTTCACCATACTTACAGACTTATTGTTGCCGACGCTGGCGATCATCTTGCAGTTTGGCGACCATTTACAGGAGTTGGCCACTGATGCTTTCCCTCGTAAAGTTTTTGTCATATTTCCATCATCATTGAGATCCCAAACCTTCAGTGTCCCGTCGCGAGAAGCAGAAACAAATAACAAGCTTCTGTCTGGGGCAAAGTTGATCTCCTTGATACTGTCTCTGTGGTCACTTAGTTCCATCAGCAGATTACCTACAATACAAAAATATTTCTGACTTTTCCTTATCTTAAAATAAATATGTAGATCTATACATCTAGTGTCTTTTATGCATTGACATACTCTACAAGTCGTCCTTTTGTATCTGTGAATTAGACTCAGGTGAGGTGTTATATTGTACCAGGCCAACTATCTTGTACCTACTCTACAGATCTATCTCCCTCGTAAACACAGGTGTGATACAATAATTAATAATTGGAGGTTCTTATATACCGCTTTTCACAACCTAGTTCGTAGGTCGTCTCAAAGCGGTTCACAAATTATTATCCATGGTTATAGGGCCTTTGCACCCAGCCTATATCTTTCTCAACTCCCTGGGGAGCATACAGCTGGTGCTGCCATTTCGGCGTTCACAGCTAGCATTCAACAATTCTAGCACTACCCAACCACATACTCATTTACAGCTGAGTAGACTGGAACAAGTGGAGTCAAGTATCTTACTCAAAAATACAACACAGTGCCGTGCAGTTACTCGAACCCGCAACTCTTCGGTCACGAGCCCGGTGTCCTACCACTAGATTACCGTGCCTCCTCAAAACATCACACATTCTCTACAAGTCACTCTCCCTACCTGTGGTGTAGCTATATCTAGACCAGGTGTGACATTGTACCAGACAACACACATAATCTACAGATCTCCACCTTATCTAGGCTTTGATGTAACTGTGATATCACATATATACTAGATGAGAAATTCTCACTCTACCTGTGTTGCAGTCCCAGGTTTTTATTTTTCCGCTCAGTAACCCTGTGGCAAGTATCAGGACATCATCAAACTTGAATCTCTTCCACACAGATTGATAGTCATGCTTTGACGTTCCTGTACCAAAAGCCACGGCAGAGATGTGTCCTCCACAGTCAATGGATCGGGGAACTCTTCGTCCTTTAACTTGTTGCTTGTTGCTGCCTTCATTTCTGTCCTGTTTTACCAGATCCTCAATCAGTCGTAGGGTCGTCAGGTGTTCCTCGCTTATTTGATTCACTAATCTCTGTCTTCTTTCAGCACAACTGTTGTATTCCTTAGCTTCAGAAGTCCTGATCCAACAGAAAACATAACAACATAAGACCTATAGCTGTATATATAGTGAAGGGGCAAACATTATGACTGAAGGAACAGCACTTCTCACGATCCTAACTCCGTATGAAGACAGTATCCACTGATGATAGCTAGGCCACTCAAGTGTAACTTTAAAAGTGATATCTTATTAAAATGTCATAACTTAACCTGGTCAGGGTAGCATGACAATCCACTTGATCACATTATTCTGACAATTAACTAACTAACCAGAGGTGCTAGCGAGAGATTGACAAATTACAAAGCTTCAGTGAAGAAGAGAACATTTAACAAAGTATCTGCTGCTTGAAGTTTTAAAATTATGATTCAGTCGGAACTGAAGCAACAGAAACATGAATAATCTTCATCCAGTCTTGCAAAAATTCAAATTTCTAGTGAAAATGATTTCTTGTTCTGAATGAAGTAAAACATTGCAAAGACGGTATTAGATGTTGCTTTGTATCAGTTAGATGCCTGGACTTACAGATGTCCTGTGTTTTTGTCCCAGGGAACAAGTTGTACAGTGCGGGAGCCACAGGACCAGGCAAAGAACGAGTTGTCTGGGGCCCATGCACACGACCAGGTTTCCTGGCCTGACCGTCCATACGGCAGGCCCCTCGGTGTTACTAGAGGGGACAACTCATCACAGGGCTGGATATGATCTACAAGGAGAAAATGTTACAACTTACAATAAAGTATACGTATCGCATATATGACATGATAAAATCACATATGACAAGAGTTTATATAGCAGCACTTCCATCAGGCACAAGACATATACATGTATACATAAATATAAATATTATTTATTTTACAACAATTATGAAACCATTTATTTCAATCTATATTTATCACTCTTGTTGGCCCAGATGTTAGTGCCAGCAGGTCTTCGTGTGGAAGGAAACTGGAGTACCTGGAGTAAACCCAAGCCTTGATGAAAGGCGAGTGTGTTATTGACTGCGCCACCCAACCACGACACAAGACATCAATGGCAATATCAAATTTTGTTGATACTTTCATCAGTATTTGTAATAAGTATTTATAAACATTTTTATTACCAGAAACCATATCAATGTGTGGATATTTGAAAGTTATTTTCAAAAGTTTTCATTTAAAGGGTTTTGGCCACGATTTCTACATTCAGTGAACCCTGTAATATACTTAAATGAATACCGAATCATCCATCAACGTGTGTTCAGAAGTGTTCTGTTACCTAGATATAGGCAATCAAAGGTGACCGCTCCTTACTGGCGAGCATTTTAATGAGCTAACAGGTTATGTGGTACTTGTGACGTCAGAGTGGCACGTTTGGGTCACTGGTCCATATAACAATCGCTAGGGTTCAGGAGATATACCCCTCCTATATATTTTTGATTTGTTTCAATGAACACGTCTGACAGTGTGATTATTGACATAAACTACATACTTAATAGAATTCTCGACCAATTTAGGTTGAAGACAGGACAAAGATAAATCACTATTTACGTAAACATTTACATTGGAGGACGATTCTGATAGGGCAGGGACGCAAGACGTATATAACATACGCATTAAGCACAGCTACAACGAATTAAAACTCCATATAATACTATTACTTGATTTAAAACAAAATAATATGATGTAAGAGCCAGTTAAATGATGTGACTTTTTAGAGTTATATTTTTGCAATGTAATATCTACTGTAATGTTCTGATGTCTGCTGACAAATCGCATGTATTCCTCCTATTACTTAATACTCCATCATAATGTTACACATCCACATATCAAAGTCTAAAAGTGAAAGTTTTACCAAACAGCTTTTGTATCCGAGTTTGATGTAGTATTAGAGCACGTAGACATGGAACGCATATACTTTCTTTCAAAATGGTTATGTCATAATCGCGAACGTAGATCACTTGCAATAATTGTATACAGTGTACATTGAATGTATACGTAGATAATACACCGAAATAGATTTCAGTGATTCAGGCTTGAATGCATAACTTCTCTTTCGGAGAACTAATGTCTTTATTTGTCGATTGATGATTTTACCCATACAACATATATTGGTTGCTGTCATTAAATACACTGTTTTGCAGATAATATATAAATATGTAAAGGGGGCGTGTCAGAATCGGAACAGGATATCGGATAACTCGCACATCAAGTGACCTCGTGCCAAGTTCAAAATATGCATATTCATTAGGCTGATATAGATGGGGCGTCATCTGGCCTGTTTATCATCCGAGTACCGAGAGAGACGGGGTCTCAGTCACTACACTTATTATTGTATCAAATGACTGTAAATATAAAATTATAAACAAGAGGCCCATGGGCCTTAACGGTCACCTGATATATTTATACAGAGAGTTGATTTTTGTTTTTAACATGAACAGAAATATTATTCAAAGTGACAAAAAACAATAAAACCACCTTATTCAATATCTAGCATGAAGATTTAAGACTGAAAAGTATTGGAACCTAGCGCCCCGATTCTAAACAAGGAAAATGAAGAAATTTTATTTTAGCACACAGACTCCATTGGTCCCCACCCTACAGCCCTTGGGGGTAGGGATGGCTCAAAATTTACAAAGTATCAAACTGTCAACTTAGGGTTATAATTTGAATCAAGTTATCAACATGTAATATTCAAAGTATCATTTGCCATTATAAACCATAACAAATTTTGCCATATCTGGGTCTTAATAAGAAGATTTTTGAAATTTCAGTCAATTCAACCCTTTTAGGCCCCACCCATCAGCCCGGGGGGTCAGTCAGGGCTGATATGTGCATACCATCAAACTGCTATCAAATACTGATAATTCTAACCCAAATTGAATTACTTCCAATGGAAATTAAACAAATGTTAGTCCAAAATGTGATTTCCCTTTATAAACTATAGTAAAGTTTACCCCCTCCCCAAGGGGAAACGTGACACCCCAGGGTCATGAAATTCACAATTTTGGTAAAGCACCTTAAGACCCTTCCATCTATGAAGAGTATTTGATTCTACCATATCTGGGTCTTGAGAAGAAGATTTTTGAAATTTCAGTCAATTCAACCCTTTTTGGCCCCACCCATCAGCCCCTGGGGGTCAGTCAGGGCTCATAGGTGCATACTATCAAACTGCTACCTAATACTGATAATGCTAACCCAAATTGAATTACTTCCAATGGAAATTAAACAAATATTGGTCCAAAATGTGATTTCCCTATATAAACTATAGTAAAGTTTACCCCCTCCCCAGGGGGAAACGTGAGACCCCAGGGTCATGAAATTCACAATTTTGGTAAAGCACCTTAAGACACTTCTATCTATGAAGAGTATTTGATTCTACCATATCTGGGTCTTGAGAAGAAGATTTTTGAAATTTCAGTCAATTCAACCCTTTTTGGCCCCACCCATCAGCCCCGGGGGGGTCAGTCAGGGCTGATATGTGCATACTATCAAACTGCTACCCAATACTGATAATGCTAACCTAAATTGAATTACTTCCAATGGCAATTAAACATATGATGGTCCAAAATGTGATTTCCCTATATAAACTATAGTAAAGTTTACCCCCTCCCCATGGGGAAAAGCTAATAATTCACAATTTTAGTTGACCTTTGGCCATGGAAGGTTTCTGCAAAATTTCATTGAAATTGGGTTAGGGGTTTTGGAGAAGAAGTCGAAAATGAAAATTGTTTACGGATGCACGCCGGACGCCGAACGGCGCCGGACAAAAGGCGATCGCAATAGGTAACCTGAGACTTTGTCTCAGGTGACCTAAAAACCGTGGCCAAAATCCTTTAGGACATGTAACATACTAAAACAGCTATTTCCTTTAGATGACAGCACCAAACTATAACCTCAGAGTCATCTTGGGATGAAATTGTACCCTTACCATAAGTAGAGACGGACGTCATTTGCGAGTATTTCAGTAAGGTTTCCAGTCTTTTTAAAATTAAACATTTCCACTACTTGCGCATTCCCACTCTTTGTATTTCAAACTACCAGTAAAGAAACCTGAAATTTCTCTTAAATGGAAGTCTGATATAAGTCTCTTTAACACATATGTCTTAGGTACATTTTGTAGATAGGAGCATTTAAAATCTCAAGACTTCTGGAGAATATCAACTGTGCATGTCTCAGGGCCTCTACTATTTACGACTCCTGCTTTATGACCTGTTGCCTGGCAAACATCAAGTACCACCTCTCTAGCTACTAACTGGGAATGTACACATGTCATGGTAAATACATAATTTATCTGTTCAGGGTCATTATGTAACCCCTGAAGTATGTCTGCCAACTACATACCTGAGCTAAACTGTAGTTCTACAATAACTTATAGCAGTCATATAGTGGAAACAAACCATTTGTAATAGTATAGCTGAGGCAATGTCAAGAATATCACAAACATACAAAAACTTTTATTATGAAGATATCTTTATTTATTTAAATAATGTATATCTTCCACATAGACAACTAATATCAATGACAATATTAATTGTCCCTGTTTAGCGATGTCACTTTTTATTTACAATAAATCGACAGTAACGGCAAGTTTATAGCTCCTCTCCATGTTTCACTCATTTCACGGAACTTATACACCAGGGTTTTTTGGTGTACATAATATATATGGTCTGGATTAGGGACCCATTCCCAATTGAAAAATGACCCTGTATTTTCCCAAATTCAGACTTTATTTTCCCAATTGGATTAAAAAGCATGTTTATACAAGTTTCCAGTTGTTATATGTGCTCATTCAAAGTATCGCCTTCCATGAAGAAACGAAAATTTGAAATTGAATAAATAAAACACTGAAAATTGATGTGTTTATTTACTGCTATAAATTTCACTGTAAGAAATGGCTACAGGAATATTTTGCTAATCACATTGCAGGTTTGATATTTTTCAAACTTATGATCTTTTCCCAGACCTGTACATGTAGGAACACGGAGGATATTTCCCAATTTTAGCCAAATACTGATGACATTTTTTTACCCAATTCCTGCACAGGGGCCCTTTCCCAAAATAGCTGGCACAAACCCTGTACACTAAACAAGCCCCCTAGATGGGCTAATTAGGTTAGCTAATTATAGCTTATAATTATACTACCGTAAACAAGCATAATAGCTGATTATTGGCTTCAACTCAACAAGCCCCATCTGTATCAGTCCAACATACTCTAACCAGCTGGGCTTATATTCTATCAAGTCCCCTATAACTGGGCTTACTGCAGTCAAATGCAGTGTCAAACATTGTACATATCATGATCAGATCATCAGCATGATGGGTCATGAATATAACAAGAGGCCCAAGTGCCTTAGCGGTCACCTGAGTTATATTAAAGGTACTCGTAGCTCAATTTCATTGTTGAGCTGTGATGTGGAAATCAACATGTAAACAAAGTGAAATACAATACTTGTCATGTCACCAAACGATAAGAACTCTAAAAACTATTCAAATAAATTATTTTGCTATTTGAGAAATAGTATATTGTTATTAAGCCAATTTTCCTCTGTGACCAATCCCTGGGATAGGTCAGGATCTTACTTTCTAATACTATTTGATTTCAGTTTCATTATGACTATTCCAACCAAGTTTGAATTATATCTTGCTGAAAATGGACAGGATATACAGTAGTCAGAAGTGTTATTTCCCTAGATATGAACCAAGAACAGATGACCAAGGGGTTATA